CCCAGGCGGGTCTCGAACCCACGGGCTCAGGCAGTCCACTCACCTCAGCCTCCCAAAGCGGGGGATTACAGGCTGAGCCACCGACCCTGGCTTTTCTGTCTCATTTCAAAGCAATGTCCTGCTGGGCGCGGTGGCTCACGCTTACCATCCCAGCACTTTGGGAGGCCGAGGTGAGAGGATTGCCTGAGCCCGCGGATTCGAGACCTGCCTGGGCAACTTGGTGAGACCTCATTTCTACAAAAAGTAAAAAAAAATTAGCCAGGCCTGTAGTTCCAGCTACTTGGAAGGCTGAGGCGGAAGGATCACCTGAGCCCAGCAGGTCGAGGCTGCGGTGACCGTGAGTGTGCTACTGCATTCCAGCCTGGGCAACAGAATGAGACTCCAACTCAAAAAAAAAAAAAATTAGCCGGACATGAAGGCGTTCGCCTGTGGTTCCAGCTACTTGGAAGGCTGAGGAGAAAGGATCGCCTGAGCACAGCAGGCCGAGGCTGCAGTGGCCATCAGCGTGCCACTGCACTCCAGCCTGGGCGACAGTGAGACTCCTACTAAAACAAAACAAAAAAACCCAACGTCTTGAGGATATCAGTAGCCACCAGATTTGGGGTTTAATTTTAATTAAATGAATGAGCGCCACATCGAATTCCATTAGTATGGTTTTCCGGAGTTTAAAGACACAAATCAGGAGAACCACTAATGGAACCCATGTAGTCCCTAAACCTATATTAGTAGCTCTATTTTATTTGCATTTTCAAAGACATTGTATCTTCTTTACCTCATTTTTCTACTTCAATTTCAACTTTATTAAATATTTTTGTTCAGCTTATCATTTAATAGTTTACTGAATTAAATACATAATTATTTTCAATCTCTTTTGTAATAATAAAAGTATTAATGACTATAAATTGTTTTCCCTGAGTACAGCTTCAGTTGTACCATTAGGGTACACTTATATAAAGTGTTTTCTGGAAAATGTCCTAGATAATCTATAATTTCAATTTTTTCCATTTTTCTTTGTTGGAATTATGGTTTACATACAACAAAATGCACATATCATTTTTTTTTTTTTTTGAGTTGGAGTCTCACTCTGTCACCCAGACTGGAGTGCAGTGGCGGCTCCCGGCCCCCACAGCCTCGCCTGCTGGGCTCCGGCGATCCTTCCACCTCAGCCTTCCAAGTAACCGTAATTACAGGCATGTGCTACCATGCCCGGCTGATTTTTTAATTTATTGTAGAGATGAGGTCTCGCTGCCCAGGCGGGTCTCGAACCCGCAGGCTCAGGCAATCCACTCACCTCAGCCTCCCAAGGCGCGGGATTACAGGCTGAGCCACTGAGCCCGCCTAAAATGCACATATCTTAAATGTACATTTTTTTGAGTTGGAGTCTCACTCTGTCACCCAGACTGGAGTGCAGTGGCACACACCTGGCCACCACAGCCTCTCTCTGCTGGGCTCTGGAGATCCTTCTGCCTCAGCCTTCCAAACAGCCAGAACTATAGGCGCGCACTACCATACCCAGCTAATTTTTTATTTATTGTAGAGATGAGGTCTCGCCAAGTTGCCCGGGTGGGTCTCGGACCTGCAGACTCAGGCAATCTACTCGCCTCATCCTCCCAAAGTGCTGGGATTACAGACTGAGCCACCGAGCCCAGCCTTAAATGTACATCTTACGTGACCACCTCCAATTCAGATATAGAACATTTTCAGCAACCAGAGTTTCTCTCAGGCAAAAGAAAGCAGAGGTGACTACTATTCTTTTAGTTTTGCTTATTCTTAAATGTCATTTAAAAACAGCATGGTCGCCGGGCTCAGTGGCTCAGCGTGTAATCCCGCGCTTTGGGAGGCCTAGGTGAGTGGATTGCCTGGGCAACTTGAGGAGACCTCATCTCTACAATTAAAAAAAAAAAAAAAAAAAAATAGCCAGGCGTGGTAGCGCGCACCTGTAACTCTGGCTACTCAGAAGGCTGAGATAGAAGGATCGCCGGAGCCCAGCAGGTCGAGGCTGCGGTGGCCGGGAGCGGCCCTGCACTCCAGTCTGGGCGACAGAGTGAGACTCCAACTCAAAAACAAAACAAAACAAAACAAAACAAAAAAAACTTCTGGATTATAAAATCTTTTTTTTTTTGGACTTATTATTTTCTTTGTGGATAGGTATATAATTGATTTTCATGGACATAAGTGGTAAATAAATATTCTCCGCAGATTATTCTCATTTTTTAAAGCAAGCTTATAAACTGTTTATTCAATTTTTTATGATTTATTTTTCTTTTGTCTGATTTGTTGCAGTCTGAAAATGAATATTATTTATGTGCTTGGCCACATATAGTGAATAAACATCTATGACTCTTGTCTTCATGGGTTAGGAATAATTATGAATTTTGGTTACAAGTATGAAAAATATATATTATTTTACACTACATACAATGTACAATAATGTTATCTTATTAAATAATAGTCTTTTGTACTTTTTTTTTTTTCAATTGAGATGCCACTCTGTTGACCAGACTGGAATGCAATGGCATAATCACAGCTCACCACAGCTCTCACCTCTGGAGCTCAGATGATCCGCCTCAGCCTCCCAAGTAGCTGGGACTGCAGGCATGCACCACGACACCCAGCTAATGCCTTTTTTTGGGGGGGGGATGAAGTCTCATTACATTGCCTAGGCTGATCTTGAACTCCTGGACTCAAGTGATCCTCCTGCCTCACCCTTCCAACGTGCTGAGATTACAGACATGAGCCACTGCGCTCAACCTTTTTTCAGTGTTTTGGGGTTTTTTTGAGTTGTAGTCTCACTCTGTTGCCCAGGCTGGAGTACAGTGGCATGCTCATGGCCATTGTAGCCTCTACCTGCTGGGTTCAGTTGATCTTTCACCTCAGCCTTCCAAGTAGCTGGAGCTACAGGCATGCGCCATCACACCTGGTTAATTTTTTGATCTATTGTAGAGATGATTTCTCTCCAAGTTATCCAGGCTGGTCTCGAACCCATGACAATTCTCTTGCCTCCACTTCCCAAAGTTCTGGGATTACAGGTGTGAGCCATCACACCTGGCTTTTTTGCACTTTTAAATGTATCTAGTCTTGACTTCATCTGATAACAACATATCATTCCTTTTTTTTTTTTTTTTGAGTCAAGGACTCACTCTGTCACCCAGGTTGGAGTGCAGAGGCAGCCTCAATCACCTGGCCCCCTCCTGTCTCAGTCTCCTGAGTAGCTGGGACTACAGGCACGTGCCACCAGGCTTGGCCAATTAAAAAATTTTTTTTTATAGAGAGGAGGTCTTGCTATGTTGCCTAGGCTGGTCTCCAACTCCTGGACTCAAGCAGTTCTCCCACGTCAGCGTCCCAAAGTACTGGGATTACAGGCATGAGTCAATGCACCGCCCCTGTTTTCTTTTTGTTTGTACATTACTTGTATTGTCTATATCTACCTGTACCCATCCTTTATTTTTAACTCTTTTTTTTTTTTTAAGTGAGAAACCAAGATTTATTGAGAAGACAGAAAAACTCCCACAGTGGGAAGGAACTTGAGGATGGTTGCTCTATTTTTAACTCTTCTTTAAACACTTTTATTTTTTATTTTTATTTTTTTGAGCTGGAATCTCACTCTGTCACCCAGACTGGAGTGCAGTGGCCACTCCCGGCCACCGCAGCCTTGACCTGCT